TAGAACAGTTTGATGCACTTTGCTTAGATGCTAACCCTGCAAGGTACCCATGGTCAATAAAACTTCCTTAGGAAGGGTAATATCCTATGCCAGTTAAAAAGTTTAAAGAGTCGAATTCATGGTCAGGAATTGACACCATTCAGAGTCATTCGTGCTACCTGACTTTCCCAACAGAACTTGTTTTTTTTTTTAACATATCAATGTATAATATGTATTATTTGTGTAGGCAGACACTTTCATCTGTGTCATACACATTGGTCTAGGGTTTCTAGTTATAATGAATCAGTTCCTATCTCATAACCTTCAAAATTCAGTCTCAGAAATCTGGATAATTTGAATTAAGATAGTAAAGATAATTTGAATGAAGATAGTAAATGAATTCGTGTGAGAAATACACTGAGAATAAGAGGTGTAGAGGAAAGATGAGAGAATCCAAGTTCCCTATCTGGACCACCGTTGGAGATTTACAGTGTAGCCACTTGGTTCTGTAATCAATCAGATCAAACATCAGAAGACACATGAACCATATGCTGAGTCCTTCTCCAAACTCCAAAGTAAGTTGCTTTTCATTCCTCAGCATCATTGTCTTCCTTTTCATGTAACATTTCTACATAGGAGTAGACAACTGAATTTGGGACAATGTATTGTTACAGGAATGGTCATCTGGGTACTCAGCTAAGGTTTAAGTAGTTATGCATACTAGGTGAAAGTAGATACTTTAAACTCAGACTCCTGGATCAAAGAGTCAGATTCCTCAATGAGAAAATGGTTAGTTACTTAATCTACACCCCTAAGTTTCATTATCTATGCAAAAGTAAAATAGTACATCCATTTTATAGTCTCACGAGATACACATACAAGGAAAGCGTTTGAAACACTTTCCATATTAAACACAATTATTAGATAGGCTCATTTCTTTAAGAATTCAGTACTGCTTATTTGTTGGGGGAAAATCTCCTTCTCAGCACCACTGAAGATAAAATGAGTTTTTCCCAGGTGGTTCCAGTGCAGAATACTTTAGAGATGCGTACTTAATCTTTGTGGAAATTATGGCAGACATATATATTTCTGAAAGGAATACATTGATATGTATAAGTATGTCTGTCATGTTTTGTTGCTTGTTTTAAATTTCTGGTGGTTGTTTGTTTCCTATCACGCAGCCTTAATAATTTAAGGAGAAATGACTAAGTATAATATTTAATGAAACCCTGTAATCTTTACTGGGAAGTTGACAATCATTCCTAAATTGATGTTGTGAAGATCAAAATTGATAATCATGAATGCAGGAAATGAAGATACTACTTCTAGACTAGGGTATTTTAGATTTATCTTCAAATCCATAGTTTTTACAACCCAGTGCAGTTTAGAAATTCAATATGATTTCATTATACATATTCATTGCTCATTATCCTTAACCATGTCAGAACCTTTGAAAGGGTGCAGCTGGGAAAGAAATAATTCTTTAGTTCTAAATTCTCACTGCTTCTGATATTTATAATCTCACATATGAGAACTCCTATCACAATTTACATTAAAGATCTGATTCTGTGTGAAATATTTAAATTTTAAGGCTTTTACCTGAAAATTTTCAATTAATTCTTTACAACCTACTTTTATGCATTTGCTCTGGTTAAATTCAACTAGTTTTATATTCTGCTTTTTTCTTTGGAATACTGCTAGTAATATTACTGCAATAAAGAGTGAAGTAATGCATCATGTCACAAAATGATTACACCCGATTTCTTACAATTATACCGTACACTTTGATATGTTTTTAATGATACTTCATAGTAGGGTGGAAAATACATTACATGTAAAGTTTTTTTTCTAACTTCTCAGTTTTGCATTTTTCCTTCATTTTAGGCATATATTCCAACTATAAAGAATGTAACGGTCTCTCTTTGAGCCAAAAATAAAAGAATCTCACCTTTTCAAGTTATAAAATACACAGAATTGAAAATTGACACCTAATATATTTTTCACTAGGTACAGATGTTCCATGTAAAATTTTCTCTTCAAATATTCTTTAAAAAGCAGAGCAGCTAAAAATCTTCAGGTATAAAGGATAATAAGTACAACTCATATCTTTGGGTAAATTGTTAATGAAATTTTAATGAAAGCCATTTTTCTTTTCAAAATTTCTTTTAAACTTATTGTCATCATCTTATCATTTAAAATTGTGAATGGACCTTTAAATTGGCTTGGAACATAATGAATTTTAATCATTACCTTCCAAACATAGAAAGTCTTATAACTTATGGCGGAAGCATACATACTCAACAATTTAGTGTAAAGTTTAGCTTTTAATCTTGAAATTCAAACACATTTGCATGAAGTGATAATTCAGATAAACTGTTTCTTATATCTATTTCTAAACCATTTTGAAAATAACTTCTTATTGTTGGCAAATGCAGGCCAAAACAGCAAATTTACAATATAATCTGGTATGTTGGCTTTTTATGCCTTGAGACCATTGTGTTGGTTTCTAAATTGAGTTAAGCTGCACACAATTCTGAAATGAAAGTAAGTGTGCACAGGCTAACCTCTGTCATAAAAACTTAGAGCTACTGATGTTCCACAACCTGCAGAACTCATTATTCTAAGTAGGGGCTCCGTGTAGATAGGCAGTAGAGCAGAAACATTAAAAAGTAACTCTTTTTCCTCTCCAGCCACCCTCCTCCCAAACTGGAAAAAAAACCCTCAGTTTAAACAGATGTTTCTTAAAATTCAAAACTATTAGATAATGTCGGTTTAGTGAACAGTTCATCTGCGGTTCTAATTGGGTTATATTTATTTCATGTGTTCATGGAAAGGACCTATCTGCATTTTTCTTATGGTGCTTATGGTCTTCTCAGTATAAAGCTTTAAAATACTTATTTTTAAATTTTAACAACTGTATTTCACAAAAAGTGCACATTATTTTGTCAAAGATGTCTGCCAGTTCTTTTCTTTATTTATTAATTGCCATAATTTCTGAACATATCCCTGTGTGGCTATGATACGAGTAACATTTTTCCCATCTCTGTAGGAGAGTAAAAAAAATATTAGATCTCAAGAGATCTGTATCATGTTGAGAAAAAGAAGAACTTTGGGCAAAATAAAGAATAGAAAATAAACCATAGAAAATAAAGTGGTTAATCCATGTCAAAATAAATGATATTCATGAAAATGACTAGACATAAAAGATGTCATTGAGCACAGGGACAGTCTCTCCCTAGAGCTGTCTGTGATTGCAGGGAACACAGAATTTACCCCAGCAGAAAGAAGGAACAACAGTAAAAGGCTGTCGCTCTCCCTGCTACAGGATGAGGTATCAGGTCGTGAAGGCTTTTATATTAAGACCATGCCTTGAAAAATGGAAGTCTGAATATACAGCACTTGTGACTCATAAGTTATAGGAAATTACGACAATAAAGATGAAATATTCTGAAACTTAGCAAAAGAAGAAATCAAGTTAAGGAGCGCGCTTTAGAAAAGGTGACTTGTGGGAGAGAGTATAAGCAAGTAATTAGTGGTGATATTTATAGGGCTGAGGAATAGAGGGCCCAGGTGTGACAGAGAAAGGGTGTTGGGTTTCTTTGGGGGGATATAAAAATGTTCTAAAATTATGGTGATGATTATACGGCTCTGAATAGACTAACAGCCATGAAAGAATATACTTTAAGGGAGTGAATTGGAAGGTATATAAAGTATATCTCAATAAAGCTGTTACAAAATGAGAAGAGAGAAACAGGAAAGAAAATGTTTTAGGGGCTATGTAAGAAAAAAGAAAAAAGTGATCTTTAACTGGGATTTGGTTAAATGTTGGGTGTGACGAGTTGTGGGTTGTTTGTTTTGTGTTTTTTCTTCCTCATTGAGTCTAGTGGTACATTTTAGGTATACAGTACGGTTACACTCATCATTGGACTCTTGGACCTTTACATGACAGGTCTTGGTTCTCATTTTTTCCCCATAGCCCTGCCCTCCCTTCACCCCCCTCCCTTCCTTATTTACAAAAACTTTTTTTTCCATTTTTTCATCTTCTCATATTTTTTCTTGTCCCTTATTTCCTTCCCCTACCCACCCACTTCCCCTACATCTTTAGCCCTTTTCTTCCTGTTTCACATTGTCCATTGTACCGTTTGGATCATATATACACTTTTAGGTTTTCACACCAGAGAAACTATTTGGTATTTATATGTGTGTGGCTTATTTATTTCATTTAAGGGTATGACCTCAGTATGCATCCATTTTCCTATGAATGACTCTAATTTCTCATTCTTTATGGCTGAGTAGTATTTCATTTTTTTATAAGAGCATTAGTTGAAGCTGTGAAGGTAATTATGAGGAGAAGGGATAAAAGCAGATGTGAGCATAACAATTCTGCAGTGCAAGGTCTATATCACAGAAAATACAATAATTAAAAAGGAAAACCAGATTGGTGGAATTCAGAAATATGGTTTTAAATGCATTGGCTATGCTATTAAATGTGTCAAAGGTGGTCGATCTTTCATGTAATAAGAATATCAGTTTTAAATTATAGGAAGGGCATCCATGGTGTTCCTGTAAGTAGTCATACACGTGTACCAGCATAAAATAATAGTTCTATCTGTGGGCCATGGTGATGCAGTGGGCTGTCAGGAGGGGACTGCACAGAGAAACCAAGTTGGATGATCCCTGATAAACCTGTTCTTGGGGCTTCAAGAACTGGTTTGTTTGTATTCTCTCTGATTGCTGAATGGTGGGACTCACTGACTCAAGATAGTATTTGTCACTTTCAACGTGAAATAGAAATGCGATGCAGCTGATGTGATGAAAATATGAAATGTTGACACTCTTGCAACTAAATGAAAACTGTAAAATTGCAAAGAAGCCATTCAGTATGGTTAAGTTCCACCTGCACAGCTCATCTGGAATGGAAATCTTGCTAATAAAAATTTTGTCGAGTGTGTTCTTCAGCATGAGCCTGGCATTCGTGCTGGGAATGATGACGCATTTATAATGCTCCGTCACTCTTTCAGGGAAGGAGATTACAGCAGAAACTTTCATGGAGAAGTTGGACAATGGTGCTTTGCTCTGTCAGCTCGCAGCAACTGTGCAAGACAAGTTCAGAGAGAGCATGGATGCTCACAAGCCTGCAAAGGTAAAGAGCCCAGGGTGGACATGACTGTTCGGAGGCAGGTTGCATTTGCTGTTGCTTAGGAACCTGGTGCACTTCGATAATTGATTGTAAATGGATGCATCAGTGCCTGTGGTAACAACAAAGCACAGAGGGTACTTCTGAAATTAGGTGACATCTTACTTGCATTTTACGTACTTAATCCTGTTGGTAATTAATTAAATATTTTGGAAAATGCTTGTATTAAAAAGTACACTTGGTTCAATCTGATTGTTGATTAAAATTTTAGAGAAATAATGTGTATCATCATGCAGTGTATAGTAATTCTAGCCAAGAAGGACTGACTGAATAGGGATTTGTTTTTAAAATATTATGGTAGAGTATTGAAATAATACAATTAGAAGATAATTTTTTGTTTTATATTAATGAATTATATCATGGTGCTAAGGAACTTTGGACCAATTATTACATTTCTGAATGCTCAGGTTTTCTTTTTGTAACTGAGTCCTAGTATTCTTATAGTTATTATAAATATATGATAAAATATGTTCAATATTTTGGAGCACACAAGAGAAGAAAAAGAAGCAAAAAACATATGGTTAAATAATGTTGACTGTAGATTAAAATAAAAATATAAAAAAATAACTGTTAGACGGCTTCTGCTGCTCTGGCTGACCAGAGGTAAAGTGACTAGTGCCTGAGGGTGTGTGTGTGTGTGTGTTTGTGTGTGAGTGTGCATGGGTGTGAGTGTGTGTGAGTATGTGCATTGGCACTGCACTTGGGTTTGATGCATTTTATATCACTCTTTAAAAGTATTATAGAAAACACAACTCCTACCCTCCAATTGTTTTCATCTTAGAAAGAACTCCATAAAGGTATCAGATAATTCAGTGGATTCCTAACTTTGTTCCACTTTGCCATTATATGAGGCCTTAAAAAATTATGAGAGTGGGACCCTGTACCTGAGATTCTGATTAATTCCTGTAGTGTGCAACCTGGACATTTGATACAGACTCCCCAGGAGAGATCCCAATGTTCCACAAAGTTGGTGACGGTCGCATTCTTTTTCCCTTCCCGTCCCTCCTTTGAGTAGATACAGACTCTAAAGCCAGATCATCTGACTGGTAAGGGACTGAACAAGAGTCTGATACGGAAATCCCCCTCCGTGTCTAGTGCTGTCTCCTTTTGATTGGCTGTAGGTAGTGTGACAGGAGGAGACATGTTTGTGGAATTCTTTATGTGAAGCTTGATGTTCGGATGGCAGTTATTCTTTTGCTCTGATTTCTATTGGAATGTGAGTCACTTTTACTTCCCATTACTGATGAGAAAACATAATGTCTACTAGGAGGACAAGTGGGTATGATGACTCATGCCTGTAGTTCCAGGATTTGAGAGGCTGAGGCAGGAGGACCTTGCAGCCATCATGGGCTATAGAGTGCGTTCAAGGCCAGTCTGAACTACATAGACACTGCCTTAAAAAAATAATAATAGGGGAAGAATTCGTGCAGAAAATATACTCTAATGCAATTAGCAAGGAGGAATAAATAATGTGACCCAACAGTGTCAAGACATTATCTTTGCACAGCATAGGCTGGGAAAGCTGTGTTTTGTGGTGCCTGTTTCTGAAGACTGGGTGCTCAATGCCTCAGAGTTAGGATCACTTGAAACTTTCATAATGACAGAGAATAAATAACCCTATAAGGCTAACATACAGTTTTCTGGTTTTGGTTTCTTTGGTGAACCTATACTTTTGAAAACAGATGAGAGATCCCCAAATTAAGTTGTTAATTCAGGTCTGTCAAGTGGAAGACAGGCCCAGAGCACTGGCCTAAATTTCAAAGGCTTTGACCTTGATTCCATTTTGCTTCAATAGTTATTTATTAATTTGTTATGTCTTCATTTCCTTATTTGTAAAATAGGATTAACAGTTGTATGCACCACATAAAATGTTGCTTGATAAACATTGTCTGCCTTTCCTACAAGAAAAAGAATTAAGTGATTCTTATGAGAATTTTAGATTAACTAGAAGAGAGTTAATACTTTTTAAATGTTCATATTCAGCATGATAGCTGCTATATGGAAACATGTAGACGTTTACCTAAAATCTCCACAATAATATATAATATGGATAATAATTATGTATCAAATTTAATTGTTTCTCTTTGAATCCTTTTCTTCAATGCAACATACTTTTTAAATATCATAAAACATAAAGAAAAACAAAAAAATTCTCTTCAAACTTACACTGTAGTGTTTCTATTAAACTTGAACTACTTCCTTGACCCTAAGCATTTTGTCTCATTGAATAGAAAGATAAAGTCTTTTCATATGCTGATAAATTTGTTTTATTACAAAAACATGTGTGTTCATTAAACAAGAGAAGGAAGCTTTAAAATACTCTTTATAACCTTCATTTTCAATGCTCAAAAATTCAAATGGGATCTGAGTGCCAACTGGACAGGACTGCTCTTGACTGGGTCGCCATCTGTGTCCTTGGCAGCATTTATGGAGCTCGGGACTGACTTCTGATCACACACAGCTGAGGTAGAACTACCGTGCATCCTTATTTTTGACAAGCACAGAGATGGCTTTTATTTTCTGCATTTTATGAGGAAAAGCAAATAGTTAATATCAACATGGCCATTATTGCTTATGACTCTGAGTATGCTTTTGTCAAATTCAGGAATTTTAGCCCCATCTTCTGTCTATAAAGTATTCAAGCCCAGACAGATTAGGAGTATTTTCTTTTCATAGGAAAAAACCAGAAGACTTTCTAATATCAACTGAGGTACAGTATTAAGTCTACCCATGTGTGTGTTTGTTTGTGTGTTTTTATGTATGTGTGTTGAATCATTCTTCATATCCTCTGCTGTCCAGGATGTTGTCGGCATAGTGAAACTGAGAAACAATTTTGGTAAAGAGAGATGAGTATGTCAGTACCTTCTCTGAATAGTTGTATTTGCTTATTCATTTGTTTGTTTGTGTGTGTTTGTTGTTGTACTGGGGATTGAATCCAGGGGCTTCTTACTAAGCTACATCTCAAGTCCCCCCTCTTTTTATTTATTTTTGTTTTATTTTGAGATGGGGTATCATTACATCATGAAGTTGCCTAGGCTGGACTTGAACTTATAATCCTGCCTCAGCGTCCCAGAGTGCTGGCATGCAACACCATGCCTGGTTTGGATAGTTTTATTCAACTTCATGTGGAAAGCTGTTGAAATACTACTTTAAGAAAAATACGCAAGATTCTTGATCCGATCCAAAGTCATATCACAGGAAGACCTTTGTGATTGTCTTCCAGCAATTTAAATCTCATTTCAGTTTCAGAGCAATATTTTTTCTTTCTCTGATTGATAGTTAATTGGGGGATTTTCCAGCTGTGTAAATAGGTTTGAACAAGTAATTTATGTCTGATATATGTGAAATATATCTGATAAGAATGATTTGCATGCTCTGAATGCTTGAAAGCAAGTTTTAAAATAAGTTAGGCAATTTATATATTTAATATTTTAGCGATCAATCCATGGCTCTTTTATATCCTGCTGACGTTTGATTAAATCCTTCAAGAGCAAGGAAATTCTCTTCTATTCTTTCTTTCAAGGCATCAGTAGGTCAATTAGCTCTAAGTAGTTAATTTAACCTTTGTGGTGGACCATTTTCGCATTTAATATGGGAGCAATGCAGAGACTTAATACAAATTGGCAGTAGTTGGATGGAAAATTTTGAGAGCAGTTTGCCGCAGATTAACATAAATTTTGATTTAATTCGTTTACATGTACCATAATATGATAAATTCACTCCATCAATCTTATTATTCCTGGAGTTGAGGAGCTTTAGTGGCAAAAATCTACACGAATCTAATCTTCCTAACATCCTATTTTGATGATCAAACCCTAGCAAATGATGAGTCCCAGATTAGGTGGTATGGCTTTAGGTAGGTCTATGTTATTAGGTAGTTAACTGACTGGAGCTTAGCTTCTGCAATCAGGACAGGATGATAGAAACATTGATGCATGAACTTTTACTTCGTAGTCCAAATTGAGTTCCACTGTACAAACCTTTTCTCACCGTATATTCACTCTGTTGTTTTTCCATGACTAGTTTGCTGATTTGTGTACCAAATGCACTCACCCACTGGGGTGACAGCACAGGGCAAAATATTAAAAATGTTCAACCTCTTTTCCTCCCAACATTCTTTTCCAATTGTCTCATTTCTTCTGAGAACCTCTGCCCCAGACCTGAGTCTCCCGGGATTCACAGATTCCTTTGGCTTCAAAGGGCCCTGAGAGTTTAGATCAGGTTTGAAGCGCATGAAGATGAAGAAGAAAAAAAAAAAGTTCTATTACCTAGTAGAATGCTACATTATACTCTAAGGAAGGAACTGAATATTCACCACTCCAGTGGAGAATCCAGTCCTTGTTCAGGGGAAAGAACATCCTCGTTAGATAGAAGGCCTGTTATACATTTGCCCATTAAGAATACTGAGTTCCCTGAGAGTAGATAACAATACCTCAGGATGTTGTACCATTCGGGAATTATATAAAACATAGAGATTAGAATTTTCCTCTCAGAAAAACAAATAGCACTTTTTGTTTACAGAACATCTTATCATGATCGAATTCAGAGAAATCCGGAGATTTGTGTTGACTCTAGATATCTCTGGCAGAACAAGTTCAATAAAAGCAGTAAAGGATTTTCTATGAAAATGAAAACTCTTAGCTATGACTCGGCTGGAGCCTTTGCATCTAAATACCTAACTAAAATAATATAACAAGAAATACACTGCTTAAAATGCAAGTGTAGTCCTAGGATAAATGAACAGAAAATTAATCATGATGAGATGGAGGAAACCGAGGTGGAATTATGTGAAAATAAATGAGCTTTTGCTGTGTGAGACTGTGGGGTAAAAGAAAAAAAAAACAAAACAATGAATGATCAGTTTTCAGCTTTAAAGTCCATTTCCTTGGGATTTCTTAAAATATATATATAAGTATCTTCACACCTTAAATATAATATATCAAATG